CTCAGCAGCTAAGGAGAATGAATAAAAGTGGGATTTTGCCCCTGGTATAGGAAGGCATCGCTGTCGATGACATGCTTGATGGGGTCTTAGCTAATCTTGCTACCCTAGAAGCTAAATTTGGATGGGACTTCTTAAATGCTCAAGATGCACAATTGAGTCATCCTCTTAGGTCTATTTACTCCCTATAGCAATTGCTTAGGTATTCACTAATAATTGATGGCTTTTTGTACTTAATTACATATATTTCATGAGCAAAATCATTTGTTACTAGCGCCATAAGTTTGGCTTTGTTGCCTCTAACAATATTTTTCTCCTAGGAATTTCTGTAATCTCCTTGCTTATTTAGTTGTATCTCTTTATTTTCCATTAAAACAATTGCTTGATATTACGTTTGATAAAATGAATACCCTTATGGACCACCCCCAAGTTTCAACTAAAAGTAACACATAGGTTATGTTCACATCTTAGGATAAATGTTTCAGTAAATTCAAAGTTGGTTGATATTATTTTTGATTAAATGAATATCACAGTCCTTGAGGACCACTTCCAACTAGAAGTAGTTCTTATGCTGTCTTCTGATCTTTAGGATAAAAGCTTTTGTCTTCTGATCTTTTAGGATAAATGCTTTTACAAGTTAATGAGAAACAATATGGGGGAATTAATTTTAAATGAAAACTAGGCCATTTCAATAGGTAAAAGCAACTTGAAGAAGATTCATGTATATTTCAGAGGCATTTAAATTGTATTTATTCCACTAAATCCACCATACTGGATTCTACTAAAGCAAAAACCACATTGCATAGAAGAATAAGACCTTAAATAACAAACATACTACACAATACATAGCTAGGTCTGTTGCAAATTATCTCAGAAACCAATATAAACAAAACACAACATATTTATTCATAATATTCCACATTGACATGTGCAAAGATTTAACGGCATTGAAGCTTACTAGGTGAGTGAAAACACGTAATTGACTGTTGGTAGCCATAAATAAAAACGTTCATCATGGTCTAATATGTATAAAAGAAAGGGAAAACATGCAATTCAAAGTTGGCAGCCAAAAACTAAAAAGTTCATCATAGCTTAATGGCATTGACTACTTTCTTCCTGGTCATTTGATCTTGCCCATTATCTCCACTTTATCTTTCCATTTCTTAATATATTTCCCTCCCTCATAATCCTTCTCTTCTTTGGTGGACAGAGAAATCTAGGTAAGGGAACCCATTTCTGTTAAGTTTTCTCCAAGAAGGAACATTGTTGAAGTACTAAACACATACGCATCAAAGAAAATGTGAAAGATAAAGTACAATCCAAAAAAATCCTTGTTGGATATCTTACAGTAACAAGCTCGTCTATCAGTGAAACAGACAGCTTGGCATCAATCAGTTCATCCTGCAAAGTCCGAGTTGTGAGATTGAACAAACCAGCCCATTTAAGCATCTCTTCCACAGTCTCAAAAACAGGTCTTGTATCAAAGTCTTCATAGTACTTTAAGAACCTATCTACAGCACTCTGCACCGCAACAATAATAGCTCAGACTTTGAACAGAGACTGACAAACACAAAGATGAAAACGAGAACGCCTAGTGATGGCAGGAACGGGAGCCAAAAGGCCCAAAACAAGAAAATTTCGCTTTCAAAGAAATAAGTGCAGGATCAAACCTCAACGAATCTCTCCATTTTGAGAAGAGATGACCCATACCGGATAAACAGGTATATAGAATTGGCAAAGGATACAATCTTCTGCACTAATGGAGACTTCGAGTTCACTTGAAGAGTCCTGAAGACAAACCTATTTCCGTCCCAAATCCCAATGGACATGGAGTCCTCCGACTTAGGCGGCCTTTTCATCTTCAAACCCACAAGTTGGGTGAAGTTGACCGCGTGGTAGTTCTTCGAGTGCAGGATCGAAGCACCCGCCTCGAAGGTATCGCCGGCAACAGAAACAGTCGCCATGCGGCCCCCTACTACGCCGGATCGCTCAAAAATCCGGATCTGGATTTCATCAGATAGAGCCGGGGTAGAGTAGCGGCGCAGGAAGTGGGCGACGGAGGAACCCGCGATGCCGCTGCCAACGATGCATACGGTGGGAGGGGAGTTGGTGGTGGAGACGCAGAATAGAGTTCGAGGAGAAGAAATTAGAAGTAACAACAGGAGGAAAGTGATGATATTATGCTTTGTTGACATTGTTTTCGCACCTACAACTCTAATCCCCACTGGGTTTCATTTTTTCTTGAATATTTATGGATGTCTCACGACATACATGGCAATTTTGCCTGCGGTCACAATAATAATATTAAAATAAAAAAATATTTATTTTTGTTAAAATATGAATAAACCACAATTAATCTTGAACGAAAAAAAATTCTATTGTACTGGGGTAAGGTACAAGGGAGTACAAAAAAGTGTAGTTTAGGTTAGACTGCACCATATAATATAGGTTAAATTATTGGATGGAAACAGAACTCTTAACATTGAAGGTATCTCTTTATAGTTCTTAACTAACAGTATGAATTGCAAAATACGTGCTTGAAAAAGTATTTTAGGAAACTCTCAAAACCTCTATTATTAATCATTATCTATTTCCAGTACGTCTCTCTTTTCTTCTTTGAAGGAGCATTTGCATTAGGAGTTGTGAACTTAATTGATAAGAAATAATTGATAAAGAAATTTGTTACTTATCTTATTGATCAAGATTTGATTTTTTAAGAAGAACAATGAAAAAGTAATTTTTCAAGGATTCCTTAATTCCAAAATCAATGGCTTACTTTTGATTGAACCATTCTAAAAAGAGAGGTAGACGGTAAATTGGCCCAAACATACCATAACCATTAAACAAAGAAAGGGGAGTATTTGCTTCTCCTTATGTAGGAGTTCTCTAGGGTGTCATGGAAACTAGGGTTCCTTTTTATTTACTACTAGAAATTTTACCTTTATCTACCAACTATTTTTGAGTGCAAAATAATACACTACTTTCCAGCACTGGGTGTTGGAAAATAAAACTTAATATAAAACAATAATATGAAAATAATTTTGAAGGATGACTTTTGGCGTTGGAAAAAGATTTAGTGCTATAATTTGGTTTGATGCCTATTTTTATGTTGTTGCTAACTATGAAAAGTTAAAAAAATGAAAAACAAAACAAAAAAATAATTCTTCAAATTTTTTTTACAAGCACAAAACACTAGAAAAATAAAAAACCATCAAAGTTAAAAGGTAGAAATGCTTCACGGTTATTTTCTAGGGCTTGGTGGTAAAAAAATAATCCTATCCAATTGGTATGAGATTAATGGTTAATGAAAATTCAAGAGATCAACCTTAATGAAGCATGGATAGTTGATGTGTAACTTTGATTTTCACTACTTTGACAAAAGCTTAAATTTCAAGGATAGAGAACTCTTCTAGTAATGATCCACACATATGCTTTTAGGATTAAGAGAAGATCAAAATTTCTCAAGTGATAGTTAGATGAAATTTTTATTCTTTTCTTCTTGATAATGTCTTTGCAAAATAAAATTAAGAAGAATAAACTTGTTAATTCTCCTTGCTTTGTATGGCAAAAAGAGTTCTCACATGAAAGAATATTTTCCATTCTCTTCCTTTTGTTGGATTTAGAAGAAGGTAGCAGAAGTGAAAAAAATTCAAAAATTTAATCTTATTCTCTTTCAACCCACCTAGGATCTTCATAAATCCATTGATGGTTAAGGAAGGGTTTATGGTCAATATCTCCACGACACATGCTGCATTGATACATAGATCTAACCACTATCCTCCAATGAACCCAAGAATTCAAGTGAAGGATTCGGAGAAGACCAAGTCTCTAAAGGTGCTAGCAATCACAAAATCAATTTATTCTCCTTGAGGGTTTTGGTAGAATAATTTTGGTGGCCTTGAATTTTGTGAAGAAAGAATCAACTAGTACTTTCATTTTCTATTCCTACTTATATTAATAGGGAATAGAAGACTTGCTATTCTAATCTAATTAGAATTACCAAAATTGGTCTCCAAGTCAAATTAGAAATCTTGAAAAGAAAAGATTTTTTTTTCTTCCCCTCTTCCTTCTGCTTGCCCATGTGCCACCCAAGCCCTTAATCCAATGGACTAGGGTTATAGCCTACAAGCTCTCCAATGACTTAAATGCCACTTTGGATTTTTTTTGTCCTTAACTTGGAACAAATTCAAACTTGAATTAATTTAGTTAAATTAATTCTTTCTACTAATTTATTTTGAATCTTGATTAATTTATTTCTCCTGTAAAAAAGCCATTTTCACATAAATTAATCCATATTTCACCGACTTGGATTTCTAGAAATCCTAATGCCTAGAACACACCAAGTGTGTGAACATCTAGGTTTCTGTCACTATGGCAATGAGAACACACTCACAAACCAAGAGCGGTATCTAACAACACATCATGTCCACCAAAAGCGATAGAAAGAGTTGATGACTTCGACAAACCTTCCTATGATTGATACTTGTGTCATTGCCCTTCATCACTAATATCTTTATCAAGAAAGATGTATGCTATGTGTCATTATCCTTGAAACTCAATATTTTTTTTCGATTCCCAAGATAAATAACTTCTTGAATGAGCCTTCATTCATGCCATGGTCATGGACTTTGCAAGTCGTCTTATCTCAATCAAAGGGGCTAGAGATATATTCTCTCATAAACTAGAAAGGGACGAATCCTATCTTGACTCACCCATTACTTTCATCCGTTTCATGATGCACCTAATAATTATATTACTTACAACCTTTTGAAGTGGATGTTTTAACAGCATCAGAGAACACAAGTCCTCACATAGAATAATGGTAATCTCAAATCAAAAGATCACTTACACTCATGTCATAGTTGAGAAGCTACTAATGACACGCACATGTAGAGTTCTTATAGTAGGTTAGTCTAGTGCATTCACTTACTTTAAGTCATCCACATGTGGTATGTTACTTCATGAGAAGAAGTCTTGCTACTTCACAAAACGTCACACATGATGGTCTTTATATCATTGATGTCCTATCTTAATCATATATATGACTATTAGACAATTCAAGAATGTTGTTATCACATCATACAGTTCTCACAAATAATGGGGTTTGCTATTACCTTTTGATGCTATAGACATCCTAAAGACTTTGTCAATGTTTAATGTACGGAGAAGAGTAACAGTTAATATTTGATAAAGAATGCCATAAATATAATGAGCGTAATCACAAGTATATAAGATTGTCTTCCCAATCTAGTTAGCCCATAGGGTACTCTAACAATCCCCCACTTGCACTACAGCCAACTGCTAGCATACTTAACCTTGCTATCTTTCACATGTATAACATGCTTCTATGGCTTTAGTTAGTAGGTTTACAACATTGTTCTTTGTTAATATTTGACTATATGCCTTGTCTACTAATAAGATCATGGTTCCTTGGCTAGTGATATGACTTGTAATGTTATCACAACAATGATATCAATAATGCTAACACATAGCCAAGCTTGGATATAAACTCGCAGATCAACACTACTTCCTTAGCTACCCTAGAAGGTATTATATACTTAGATTTTGCTATAGAATTTGTGATGACGATTTGCTTTGAGTTATACCAACTCACTACATCTTTATTAAGGTGAAACTCAAAACCGCTTTGCTTTCTCAATATCATCATGATCTTCTTGAAAAGCTAGTATTTGTGTGACCCCTAACTAGCAACTCCTAGTCCTTTCCATGTACAAGTTCTAGTCATCATACTTCTAGCATATGAGACTTTAAACTTTGTAGAATTCATAGCAAACATAATAGCTCCTATTGCATATGGGGTCTTATACATCCTTTCATTTCTTCTTATGTTTGTCCACACTTCTTCTTTGAAGGATGTTTGTCATGTGACATAGGTATCAATCCTTTCTTGGATTGTTTGAATCTAAATTACCTAAGCACCTCGTCAATGTACACACTTTGACTTAGTTTTAACAGCATCTAATATCTATCTCTTTATATCTTTATGCCTAGGATATAACTTGCTTCACCTAAGTCGTTCATAGAGAAACACTTGCCTAGCCAAGTCTTTAAAGGCTCTAAGGTAGCTATTTGGTTTTCTTTATTAGTATGTCATTGACATACAATATTAAAAAAAACCACAGCACTTCCATTGACTTCTTGTAAACACAAGGCTCACTTTCATTCTTGATGAAATTTAAGATTTGCTTCATCATAAAAAGTTTCTCAACTCTTAAAACATGCTTTAGTCCATGAATGGACTTTTACAACTTGTATACCCTCTTAGCATCTTGTGGAATCTCAAAACCATTGATCATGTCATGTAGACATCCTTACTCAAATTTTTGTTGAGGAATATGGTTTAGACACTACAAGCAAAATGCCCTTTACCAACGGCAGTTTATACAAATAAATTGAAATTTGTCTGTATAAACCATGTATACCAACAACAAACATAAGTAGTTAGTATTCATTGATCTATACTAACGAAAAAATATATCCGTTAATATAAACAAGCTTTATACAAACAGTTTCCTAATTATTCATATGTATAGAGTATATCTATTCTAATGGTAATAATTATTCGTTTGTATAAGTCTATCTATACAGATGGATTATTGTGTTCTGTCTATATAATTCATTTAAATCTAAATGCCACATTTTTTTCTTTTAAATTTCTACAATTGGTATACATTTTCCACTTCCTTCCACGTATTCCCAATTTTCCCTCCCTAAATTTTGATTTTCCCTCCCCAACTAGACCTAAATATTTCCTTCTCCAAAATCTAGTTTGACTCTAACCCTCACCAAAATTCATTTCCCTTTTCTTTCTTCTTTCTCCTATCCTTTCCCTTTCTCCTTCCTGCTATTCATGCCATCACCGTTTGATTGAAGGGGCCAATTGACATTCTCTTTGCGGGACAGTTCTCCAATAGTGTAAATCTAACATTTGATCCAAAAAATTTGGATAAACTTGATGACTTTTTGGCCTAATCCAGCACTAGGGACCTTGGATCCATGTTTCAGGCTCGAATTGGCCCTCCAATGAAGCCAACTAGTGTGTGCCCAAAGGACAGATTCAATACTGGATTGAGTTCAAACAGCATCGAAATAGTGTTTTATTTTCTACCAATTCGTAATGCCAACTGCAATGCATCACCATGAGCAATGTTCTTAGGTTCCACTGCACACAGTGGCCTATAGCGCCGACTGGACACCTACAAATCCATCTTTTGTCAAACCCTAGCTTGCTCAAGGTGTTTTTGGAGTGTCAGACACGAACACAAAGGGTAACTCATTGATCATTATATTTTCATTTGTACTTTCAAGATTCTATTTATTGCTTCTCTTTATCATGGAAAAAATCTTTAGAAATTGCAATTATTAGAGCATATATCCTACACCATTTGTGTAAGAAAAAATTGATTATAAATAGGAAGATGTCCTAAATCTACATTTGATGTAGTATATGAAAATTTTTTATCATTTGATATTGTGAAATCTATATTGATTATTTTTTCCTCTTCTGTATGAAGATTCTAGTTAATTTATTACAAGAACTAATCTAATTTAGTTTGTTTATTATTATTATTTTTTGAAATCTAACTGTATTTGACAATGTCTTTAAAAATAAGAGATTTTCTTTGTTTATATGTGTTTATAAAGATGGTCACAGAGCAATTCTTCCTTTTTAGACGTTGCTGCCTTGGTTTAATTTAACCTATGAAGGAGAGGCTTGGATAGTATTGCCAGGGTATTATCGTTTTTTCTATCTATTTTTGGGTAAATTAATTCTTTTAATTGATTTATGTGCGAGTAAACTCTTTTTTTTTTTTTTTTATAAATTATGATCATTGTGTAGATTTATTTCTCCTTCTCTATAATATTATGGCTACAAATTCCACAAATTGAAGTATTTATGTCTAGAATACCAATCATTCCCTTAAAAAATAAAATATCATTCGGTAATAGATATCTTTTGTAAAATTTCCACAAATTTCCACGACATTTGCACCAAGACTTTTGCATGATTTGTCAATGAAAAGGTGATTGATTTTTTCTACTCAAGCTACTTTATTAAAAAAGCAGTGTACATGCTTTACTAATCAAATGATGATTGAAATTAATTTAGGGCAAGATATTATATTAGTAATAAATTAAATTGTTATCCTATCTTCCCCTTTTTCTAATAGAATTGCTTAACTTGTTTCCTCTTTTTTTTTTTTTTTTTTAAATTGTTACTATTTCAATTTTCATAGAAATCTATACTCATTGAATTTTATTTTTCAATAGGCACCTATCAAGAGATATCTAATACTTACTTATACCTCTTCGTTTAGGTTTCACTATTTTTTAAGTTTAATTTCTCAAATCTATTTTTTGGTTAAATTTAATAAATAATCTATTAACTATATAATTTATTTCAATTTAATTTAGAAACAATTTTTTTTTTCAAAATGATCTATAAACTATCAATTTTGTTTCAAAATGGTCTATTTAACAAACATTTCGTTAACTAATGGAATTCTCTTTGGCGGTTCACAAGTTGCCCCTAAACTTTTGAAAAAAGTTAAATTTAGTATATATATTTTTGTTTTTTTGGTTATATTTTGTTTTTGAAGTTTAAATTTTATGTCAAATATAATAATTAATTAAGATAATAATTTTAATTTATATTGATCAAGATTCTAATTTTAATTTACAACAA